TGGCTATATCCTGCTGATGCTAGCCTGTCTGCTGAGCACAATGATATGATAAGCTTGATAACAAACTAAGGTGGCAGGCAAAATTAGGCCAGTGCTAGCCTTGCTGAGGCAGTATTAGGGCAGTGCTAGCCTTGCTGAGGCAGTATTGGGGCAGTGCTAGCCTATTGCTGAGGCAGTATTAGGGCAGTGCTAGCCTATTGCTGAGGCAGTATTAGGGCAGTGCTAGCCTATTGCTGAGGCAGTATTGGGGCAGTGCTAGCCTATTGCTGAGGCAGTATTAGGGCAGTGCTAGCCTATTGCTGAGGCAGTATTGGGGCAGTGCTAGCCTATTGCTGAGGCAGTATTAGGGCAGTGCTAGCCTATTGCTGAGGCAGTATTGGGGCAGTGCTAGCTAATTGCTGAGGCAGTATTGGGGCAGTGCTAGCCTATTGCTGAGGCAGTATTGGGGCAGTGCTAGCCTATTGCTGAGGCAGTATTGGGGCAGTGCTAGCCTATTGCTGAGGAAGTATTAGGGCAGTGCTAGCCTATTGCTGAGGCAGTATTAGGGCAGTGCTAGCCTATTGCTGAGGCAGTATTAGGGCAGTGCTAGCCTATTGCTGAGGCAGTATTGGGGCAGTGCTAGCCTATTGCTGAGGCAGTATTGGGGCAGTGCTAGCCTATTGCTGAGGCAGTATTAGGGCAGTGCTAGCCTATTGCTGAGGCAGTATTAGGGCAGTGCTAGCCTATTGCTGAGGCAGTATTAGGGCAGTGCTAGCCTATTGCTGAGGCAGTATTAGGGCAGTGCTAGCCTATTGCTGAGGCAGTATTGGGGCAGTGCTAGCCTATTGCTGAGGCAGTATTGGGGCAGTGCTAGCCTATTGCTGAGGCAGTATTGGGGCAGTGCTAGCCTATTGCTGAGGCAGTATTAGGGCAGTGCTAGCCTATTGCTGAGGCAGTATTGGGGCAGTGCTAGCCTATTGCTGAGGCAGTATTAGGGCAGTGCTAGCCTATTGCTGAGGCAGTATTGGGGCAGTGCTAGCCTATTGCTGAGGCAGTATTAGGGCAGTGCTAGCCTATTGCTGAGGCAGTATTAGGGCAGTGCTATCCTATTGCTGAGGCAGTATTGGGGCAGTGCTAGCCTATTGCTGAGGCAGTATTGGGGCAGTGCTAGCCTATTGCTGAGGCAGTATTCAGGAGTGTATACATTGATATGTCACAGCTGTGGATGAGTGAACCGGACTATAGGGAAAGTGGTGGCTGGACCTCCTGGGGCTCAGTACATCAGGGTGCCTCCCAAATGACACCTTATTCTCTATATAGTTCACTACTTTAGACCAGGGCCAATAGAGCTCTGTTCTAAAGTAGTGCACTATGTAGGGAATAAGGTGCAATTTGGGACGCCCTTTCAGACTGTTGCTGACACATCAGAGGGCAGAACGATCTCTGAGCTCTCCTCACAGGTCACCTGATCTCTACTCACTCCAGCCCAATAAAAGCCCATTACAGTAAATGCCATGTTATCCATTTACATTTAAGTCATTTAGCAGACGCTCTTATCCAGAGCGACTTACAAATTGATGCATTCAACTTAGGATAGCCAGTGGGACAACCACAATCTTGATCACAGTAAGTACGCTTCTTCAAAGAAGCAGCTGTGAGCAAAGTCAGTGCAATCAGGGACAACTACATCTCGATCACAATAAGTACATTTCTTTAAACAAGTCAGTGCTAGCAGGTGAAATAAATCAGGTGTTAGTTTAGACAAAAGACAGTGGTAGTAAAGGGGGGGGGGGGGGGGGGTAGAAGGATTACTATAATACTATTATCCATCATCCATTACACATTACACTCTCATTCAAAAGGGATCATGGTACTGTAAATTACACGTACAGTTTATAAAGCAATGAGGTCTAATCTCTCTCTCACCAGTCTGCGTATCTCCCTCTCACACTCCCTCTTGATGCGGGTGATCTCCTCCTGGTGTATATGGTAGACGGAGCGTATCTCAGCAGCCTTGGTCTTGTCTGCCTGTACGGCCAGGTTCAGAGCCTCCTCCATCTGTCTCTTCATCCCCTTCAGCTCATAGATCTCCTGCTGTAGTCGGCTCCTCTCCCCCTCAAAACCACGCCTCGCCTCCTCACGCGCCTCCGCAAACAGAGCCGTCTTCACCTGACATGGAGGGCAGGTTACCCAGAGGTTAGAGTGGTGGACCAGTAACCAGAAGGTCGCTGATGGACTGAACTGGCTACTGTAGGGCCGCTGGTATCAGAACATTACTACAATCCACTATTGTTGTGCCCTTGACCACCTAAACTGCCCCTGGGGTGCTGCACTGCAGTTGACCCTGTGCTGCTTCTAGCCTCTCCTGTGTGTGTATGTATCAGTGGTGTCCATAGGGGCTGCCAGCCTCTCCTGTGTGTGTATGTATCAGTGGTGTCCATAGGGGCTGCCAGCCTCTCCTGTGTGTGTATGTATGCCCAGGCTATCCTGGTGTGTAGTTATCCATAGGGGCTGCCAGCCTCTCCTGTGTGTGTATGTATCAGTGGTGTCCATAGGGGCTGCCAGCCTCTCCTGTGTGTGTATGTATCAGTGGTGTCCATAGGGGCTGCCAGCCTCTCCTGTGTGTGTATGTATCAGTGGTGTCCATAGGGGCTGCCAGCCTCTCCTGTGTGTGTATGTATCAGTGGTGTCCATAGGGGCTGCCAGCCTCTCCTGTGTGTGTATGTATCAGTGGTGTCCATAGGGGCTGCCAGCCTCTCCTGTGTGTGTATGTATCAGTGGTGTCCATAGGGGCTGCCAGCCTCTCCTGTGTTTGTATGACATAAGACAGCATAAAGATGAACTTCCCGATTCCAATTTGGACCATGAAGTTGTATTGTATGGTACCTTGTCTGTGGATCCATCTCGCAGAGCATTAACCAGCGCCTGTAGTCTCTGGATCTCTCCGTCCTTGATCTTGATAACCCTCATCAGCTCCAGCTCGTGGGTCCGTAGCAGCGTCTCCCTGAGCCCCTGGAGCTCCTTGGTCTTCTCCTCATGGAGCTTGGCCTTCAGCTCAGTCACCACCACCGTAGACTTGTGCTGCTCATGTCTCACCTCATGGCTCTTCTCTCTCTCCAGCTTACTGACCTAGAGAAAGAGAGAGAAAGAAAGAGAGCGAGAGACAGCGAGAGCGAGAGAGACAGGGAGAGAGAGAGAGACAGCGAGAGTGAGAGAGAGAGCGAGAGAGACAGGGAGAGAGAGAGAGACAGGGAGAGTGAGAGAGACAGGGAGAGAGAGAGAGACAGGGAGAATGAGAGAGACAGCGAGAGAGACAGGGAGAGAGAGAGAGACAGGGAGAGAGAGAGAGACAGGGAGAGCGAGAGAGACAGGGAGAGCGAGAGAGACAGGGAGAGAGAGAGAGACCGAGAGAGAGAGAGACAGGGAGAGAGAGAGAGACAGGGAGAGCGAGAGAGAGAGAGAGAGCAAGAGAGAGAGAGAGAGAGAGAGCGAGAGAGAGAGAGCAAGAGAGAGAGAGAGAGAGAGAGAGAGAGAGCGAGAGAGAGAGAGAGAGGAATAGGAGAGAGGAGAGAGAGAGAGAGAGAGAGAGAGAGAGAGTAGAATGAGAAATGAGACATCCCACACCACAACCCAAGAGATATCACACACACTCATAGCCCAAGTTAGACAGACCTCTCTGTATGTCTAGCTTACTGACCAACAGAGACAGATGGACAGACAGATAGACACCAGACAGAGCAACATGAGACATCACAGACACTCACAGCCCAGCAGCAAAACCACTCAGAACACATTCAGTCAGATCGACTCGAGCCAGTGTTCTAAAACGCTGAAAGCTTTGATGTTATCTGGGGTCACAGGTTTATTTGGGGTCATATTGAGTCTCTCCCTCCACTTTAACACTAACTGACAAGTGTTGCTCTAGGCAGACCAACCACAAATAGCTGTATGCATGGCTAGAAGAAACAACAGATTACAGAGTAATACTGAGAGAGAGAGAGAGAGGGACAGCGAGAGAGAGAGATAGAAAGAGGAGAGAGAGAGAGAGAGAGAGAGAGAGAGAGAGAGAGAGAGAGAGAGAGAGAGAGAGAGAGAGAGAGAGAGAGAGAGAGCGAGAGAGAGAGAGTGTGACTTCTCTTCTCCAGGGCAGACGTAAAAATAGTCCCAATTAAACCACTGGCACACATTCACCGAGGTCACCATTCTACATGGCTGGATTGTTCTACAGATGTTAAAGCTGTATCCTCTATCCAGCAATGCCACAAATCCCTGTCTGTAGAGCCTGCAGGCCATGTAAATCAGCATAACTCCAGTCCCTGTCTGTAGAGCCTGCAGGCCATGTAAATCAGTATAACTATATATTCATTTGTAACAGCTCCATCCATATGACCTCCAAGCTTTGCCCCTCAAGTCTCCCTGAGAGCCTTGGCAGCATCAAAGTTATGATGAACAATATCTCCGTCAGTCAGTCCTAAAATGAACTTCCCTGAGATGAAAACCAGCCTAGCAGGCCATACCGCTGAGTGAAAACTGAAACCCCCCCCCCCCCCCAACCTATCAGGAGATCTAACAGAGAGACTGAAGCACCCATTTCAAAGGAGATTACAGATGAGCTGTCATCAGGCCCCAGTGAGTTATTACTGGCTGGCCGTGCAGCAATTTAGCAGCGCGGGAGCTAGGATGGTTCAGTAAACGTGGCAAGTCTAGCCGGAGGGCATGGTATCACCCCGTGTGTGTCCTATGGTGACCCAGTCGTCCGTTATCCGTTAAATTAATTACACGCGAACTGAGAAAACCACACACACTGTAAAGCCTAAACACTGTTCAGTATATAGAAATTACAGAGAAGATTTTACAGAATGAAAAACATTTATGCAGTAAATGATACTGTACCTACAATGTCAAAATAATAGGTAGATATACTGTAATAGTAATACTAATACTACTAATATATTATATACCGGTATACTGTAATAGTAATACTACTAATATATTATATACTGGTATACTGTAAAGGCAGATTAAAATGGATCAACCGTGAGGATGTCACCAAGTTCATAAATGTGTCATCATACAGCCTGTTATCTATAACTAAACCTGTTGTATCATACAGCCTGTTATCTATAACTAAACCTGTTGTATCATACCGCCTGTTATCTATAACTAAACCTGTTGTATCATACAGCCTGTTATCTATAACTAAACCTGTTGTATCATACAGCCTGTTATTTATAACTAAACCTGTTGTATCATACAGCCTGTTATCTATAACTAAACCTGTTGTATCATACAGCCTGTTATCTATAACTAAACCTGTTGTATCATACAGCCTGTTATCTATAACTAAACCTGTTGTATCATACCGCCTGTTATCTATAACTAAACCTGTTGTATCATACAGCCTGTTATCTATAACTAAACCTGTTGTATCATACCGCCTGTTATCTATAACTAAACCTGTTGTATCATACAGCCTGTTATCTATAACTAAACCTGTTGTATCATACAGCCTGTTATCTATAACTAAACCTGTTGTATCATACAGCCTGTTATCTATAACTAAACCTGTTGTATCATACAGCCTGTTCTATGTAATTAAACCTGTTGTATCATACAGCCTGTTATCTATAACTAAACCTGTTGTATCATACAGCCTGTTATCTATAACTAAACCTGTTGTATCATACAGCCTGTTATCTAGAACTAAACCTGTTGTATCATACAGCCTGTTATCTATAACTAAACCTGTTGTATCATACAGCCTGTTATCTATAACTAAACCTGTTGTATCATACAGCCTGTTATCTATAACTAAACCTGTTGTATCATACAGCATGTTATCTATAACTAAACCTGTTGTATCATACAGCCTGTTCTATGTAATTAAACCTGTTGTATCATACAGCCTGCTCTATGTAACTAAACCTGCATTGGTTGTGTCACACATGCAGAGCAGAGACCATTGTTCATTCAGACAGCCAAACAACAGGGAAGGGAACCCCTGGCCTCCACAGACACACATACAGATAGTAGTGTCTAACATTAGATATCACAATGGTCTCTTTGACATGGGACTGTTACTGGTGGTAGATAGCTGCAGATCATCTGTAGCAGAGCACACAGAGCCCATGAGCACTGGACTGACCCCCTCACCCAGGAGCACTGGGCTGACCCCCTCACCCAGGAGCACTGGGCTGACCCCCTCACCCAGGAGCACTGGGCTGACCCCCTCACCCAGGAGCACTGGGCTGACCCCCTCACCCAGGAGCACTGGGCTGACCCCCTCACCCAGGAGCACTGGGCTGACCCCCTCACCCAGGAGCACTGGGCTGACCCCCTCACCCAGGAGCACTGGGCTGACCCCCTCACCCAGGAGCACTGGACTGACCCCCTCACCCAGGAGCACTGGGCTGACCCCCTCACCCAGGAGCACTGCACTGACCCCCTCACCCAGGAGCACTGGGCTGACCCCCTCACCCAGGAGCACTGGACTGACCCCCTCACCCAGGAGCACTGGACTGACCCCCTCACCCAGGAGCACTGCACTGACCCCCTCACCCAGGAGCACTGCACTGACCCCCTCACCCAGGAGCACTGCACTGACCCCCTCACCCAGGAGCACTGGGCTGACCCCCTCACTCAGACACTGGAGTCTTCTGTGATTACTTGTACACTAGGCTGACTAGGCTACTCTATAATAGTAGAATAGCATTAGGAGCTATTTGTCTTATTAATCACAGGCATCTTTACTGGGCTATTAGTTTGGTCAATAACCTATTCAGAGCCCTCATTTATATCCTCTCATTGTTGAGACTATTCCCAGCTGTATTTCACAATTAAACATTTCTGTTCACCATTTCTGTTCCTGGTTCATCGGTGGTTTCCAAGGTACCCGGCAGATAGCAGCACCAACAGTGGATATTAGCAATTTCTGCTTTGTGAGATACAACTATTCCCAGATATAAGACAGGAATATGTTAAAAGATAAACACTGCAACCTAACCATCAGGCTCACGTAAGACAGACAGCTAAGTGGTCAAATAAACCTGCATAGTGGGCGATAAGTATCCTATATGTGATATCATATTGTCTGAAATAAACCTGCAAACAACATTTGGAGACATTCTTTGGGCATTGTGCTTCGTCTCCTCACAGGCCTGTTCTTGATGGGGATTGGCTGTAGATACCGTAGATAGAAACCTGTTTCAGAGACATTGGGGTTGCCATGGTACCATGCTGACCAGTGACCTCTACTCTGTCGGGACAGATGTGGGACATGCGATCCAAGAGAATTCATATAGAACTCGCAACATACCGTAACATATCACAACATATTGATATTGGTGTGGTGCCACTCTTCGATGTAACCAAAACAGAGGAGCCAAGCTAGTCTCTTCCCACAGACACTTTTCAAGCCAGACTAAAGCCAGACTGACATAATGGGGTCATAATGTAAACCATGTAATTAATGCATGTCGTGACAAGTTAAACACTCAGCAGAGGAAAGCTAATGGTCTCAGCTATGCCATTAGCTCCCCAAGCTGTCAATCAAAAACACACAGCCAATGACAGGTACATGTCAGGCATGCCCCCCCCCCGAACCATTAGGCCCTCAGGCTGTCAGTCAACTAGCACACTGACATTGAAACGGCCAATCATGCACCGATTACATAGGACCCCTTATTCCCTTTTATAGTAGATCACTTTTGACCAGGGCCAATAGTAGTGCACTTTATAGGGAACAGGGATCCATTTGGGACTCACCCATAGGCAGGAATACGTATTAACCAATCTGTACTACGGTAACGCCACATTACCCCATGTAATGAATTGACAGAGGAGATCATTCAGTGCATAACATGGAGAGAAAATATCCTCTAGAGTCGAAGAGACGTCTGTGTGATCCTGCCAGTGCCTGCTTTGAGCGGTAACATGGACGTTTCCTCATTTTGCTCCATCATGAGACACAGTTTCACTCCGTTACGATTTCTTCCTCATCAAAGGTGGAAAGTCACAGACATATTGGTAACCTGTCTGTATGCCTCTCCGTCTGCCTTGATGGTATGTACAAAAACAACAATCTAAAAAAAAAACAATGTCTCTCCTGCAGTGCCTCAGTCCTCCCTTGGGAAAGAGGTCTTCTAACCTCAATGAGACTTCCTGGTCAAATTAAGGTTAAATCAATGTGTGTCTTATAGTTCCCACCTTGCTTTTCTCCTGCTGCAGTTCTATCTGGATGTCTGTGAGTTTGGCCCTCAGATCTTCATTGGCCGCCTGCAGGGCCGCCAGCGTATCGGCCCTCTCCATCTTGCCTCGGCCCCCAGCCCGGGCCCCCCCGGGCCCCTTCTTGGACATGGTGAGGCCCTGGAGGTGGTGCTCCAAGGGCCCAAGCCCCCCCGTCTGGAGGAACCACCGGAGAACCTTCTCTAGTGTCTTCAGCCTTCTGTCAGCCTGCCGTCCTCAGCTACATCTTCTGGTCCACCTGGAACAACAAGACAAGACACAACACAACATTTTAGCTCCTTTTCTAACAAATTAGACTGTTGATCCTTTTCTAACAAGTTAGACAACAACTTAGGTATATGAAGTCTTTGTCTACTTGTTCTGTCCCACCTAGTAGAAGAAGAAGAAGAAGAAGAAGAAGAAGAAGAAGAAGAAGAAGAAGAAGAAGAAGAGAAGAAGAAGAAGAAGAAGAAAGAAGAAGACAGAAGAAGAAGAAGAAGAAGAAGAGAAAAGAAGAAAGAAGAAGAAGAAGAAAGAAGAAGAAGAAAAGAAGAAGAAGAAGAAGAAGAAGAAGAAGAAGAAGAAGAAGAAGAAGAAGAAGAAGAAGAAGAAGAAGAAGAAGAAGAAGAAGACTGAAACACAGTTATGTGATAAACAGGAATATGAACTATAGGGAGCGTGTCTAGAGTTCTCTTAACTGTAAGTGTGTCGACAATTCAAGCTCTACTACTGAACATACAAGCAGCCTTGCAGACTTGCCTTGCCCCCCGGTTTCCACCAGCAGTTCCGAAGGGTAACTTTAGGTTCCCAATAGCTTTTTTCGGTTTCCCATTCTGTTGAATCTCTGAGAACTGCTGGCAAAACGTAGACTAAATGATTAGGATAGTATGAACATCAGGAGGAGTCTTTCAAAGACTTAATCCAACATTGTGTCATGACAAGGTAAATCTGCATCACGTCACACCGACCCAATCCTCTAATCCTCTCTTCTCATCGTCAGCCTCCTATAATAACATTCTAGCCTGGTCAAACAGACTGACTGCCGTGCTCACGTCAAGTAAAACAGAATGCGAGCTCTCATGTGGTCCTCTGTTGCTCAGCTGGTAGAGCATGGCGCTTGAAAACGCCAGGGGTAGTGGGTTCGATCCCCGGGACCACCCATACGTAAAAATGAATGCACACATGACTGTAAATCGCTTTGGATAAAAGCGTCTGCTAAATGGCATATTATTATTATTATTATTATTATTATTATTATTATTATGAGATCAGGCTGGTTCCACCAAGCTCATAACATTCACCTGTGTTGACAATTCAAGCACATACAAACATCCTTGCCTTGCCCTGTTAGTTTTTCTACCAGCAGATAACAGCAACTATATGTACAGTGAGTACACTAATGTTAATGTATATTCCATGGCAGATCCACTCCCATATGTACATCTATGTGACTCTCTTTCAGGCTAAATACGTTCAGGTAAGCCTTAGGTGCAGCTAGGTTTGTGGTCGTATGTTTGCTTACAATCTCAAAGCTTTTTAGTTACCCCCCTCTGTTGAACCACTGATCAATGTTCAATAGGCAAAACATAGCCCTTAGTAAATGAGGACTAAATGAAAACACAGGCACTTTGTTGTGTGTTGGCCGGAGAAATCCAATACAGTGACACGTCTCCGAGCCACAACTCTCTCTCTCTCTCTACCCGACCAGCACGCTAGTTGAATTATACATGAGCCATTCTAGACTGGACGAAACAAATCAGGAGAGAGATGTGCAATACCTGTGAATTATCATGAATACACAGGACACATGTTTATATGACGACAATTGAAGGACTGATCACAGAACAATGCAGAAAGTTTGAGCAATTCACATCACGACCCCAAGAAAATGAAACGATCACTAAAGAATACATGTAAAACTACTGGGAAATAAGTCTGTTGTGACAGACTGCTGCATTAATACCAAATCGAGCAGCGCAGAGATTTGGTTCTGGGTGCTGAAATTAACTACAGACAAACACATCTAGAGTATAGCTTTCTCCCCAAAACCGTGGAACGTAATGTCAGCAAACAGTTCAAAAGCAAATAGAGTCAGCCTGGGCTTCTCTCACGATCATCTCCTTACAGAACAGCCAGTACAGACACTCATCCATCACAGTGACAGAGCAGGAACAGGGCAGAGTGGGAGATAGAGGGAGGAAGGGAGAGAGAGAGAGGGGGGGGGGGGGGAGACAGAGAGACAGGGAGAGAGAGAGGGGGAGGGGGGGGAGGGGAGAGACAGGGAAAGAGAGAAAGAGAGAGAGACAGGGAGAGAGAGAGAGAGCGAGAGAGAGAGTGAGAGAGAGTGATAGACAGGGAGAGAGAGAGGGGGAGAGAGAGGGAGAGAGACAGGGAGAGAGAGGGAGGGAGGAAGGGAGAGGGAGGAAAGAGAGAAAGAGTGTGAGAGAGAGAGAGAGAGAGAGAGAGAGAGAGAGACAGCGAGAGAGAGACAGGGAGAGAGAGAGTGAGAGAGAGAGAGAGAGAAATGATGCGTGACCCTCTAACACTGTAATAACTATACTATTGTAATAGCTAGCTATATAGGCCACATTGAGTAATAACTTCTCTCTGGACCACTGGGAATATCTCTCACGCTACAGCAGAGGAGCGAGCAGTGTACTGACATTCAAGAAGAAAGATTTCAACGTTCAACCTTTTAGTGAAGCAATATCGAGCAAATGATTAATGAAAGTATGAATATGGCAACAATATTCCTAAAGAGAAAATATTTGCATCTGACAGTTACCACAACACCAGCTGTCTGACAGTGCAAAAATACAGTACAATTGGACATTGGAGCTGAAACATATAACTCCTGGACCAAGCAAAGTTGTACTATATTCCCTGTGCTGTTGGTTGGGAGCGTTGTGCCAGTAACCGAAGGGTCGCTGGTTCTAATCCCCGAGCCTACTGGGTGAAAGGTCTGCCGATGTGCCCTTGAGCAAGGCACTTGGCCCTAGTTGCTCATGTAAGTCGCTCTGGATAAGAGCGTCTGCTAAATGACTAAAATGTAAATGTATCTCAGACAGACAGTGTCCAGGCCAGTGCTGCTGTGTCTCAGTGCCCACCAGGCCAGTGCTGCTGTGTCTCAGTGCCCACCAGGCCAGTGCTGTCACAATTTAGTCCACATAACAGATGTGAGTTTTCCCTTACAAACCCTGACCCTGACAGAGTAGGAGAGAGAGAGAATAAAGAGAGCAATAAAGGAGGAGGAGAGGAGGGATGTGAGCTGCACACTAATAACTGTGGCTGCATCTGAAATGGCACCCTATTCCCTATCTTGTGCACTACTTTTGACCAGGGCCCTATGGAGCTCTGGTGAAAAGTAATGCTATAGGGGAAAAGGGTGCCATTTGGGACACATGTACTGTGTGAACAAGAGAAGCCACATTTCCCTGGATACCTAGTCTAACACCT